GGGGGGGAAGAGAAGGTCAAAGGTAAATTTAATCACAGTTACTGTAAAACATTGTTTATTCCAATTTATAAACAACACCACACTTTTTTTCTTTCTGTGCCTCTTTGGAAGGGAAGCCGGGAATGTTTCTGAGGACGTCTAAGGACTGCTGGGGTAATAATATAGATTGTAAATGGCATAAGAACTTGCTGATGAGTGGAGATACTCCCTATACCAGTGCTACTTATCATCATCATCATTATTTTCAACAAAGGAATATAGACAAAATAACAATTTTGGTAGACAAATTTGATATGGGAGAGACACAGGGACTGAATGAGATGAAAATCTTGTAAAAATTCAAGACACTTGGTAACTTTGTACATGAGTAATTTCATCAAGTGTCAGATCTGCAACAGACATCGGAGATCATGGTGCTCCATCCATTCCTTTCCTCAGATGCTTTGAAGAGACCTACATTATCCAGATCTTTCTGCGTCACTCATCTGTTTAAGCTCTCCAAGTAAGATGCTCTGCGCCTACCCCTGCCTCATTTGCCTTCAATTTTATCAGAGAGACAGCTAGATGTTCGAGGCCTTTATGTTGATTCAAGTGTCCCAGAAACTGCACATGTCTTTTCCTGATTGTTTTAATCAGCCAGATGCCAAAGTGGGCTTCTTCAAGTATTACCTCATTACACAGGCAATTATGAATGAAATTCAGGAAAGCTGGTATCTCTGTTTGTGAGTAATTACGAGAAGCACATCTCAGCGAGTCTCTCACCTGATGATGATGCCGTTTTCCACGGAGAAGCTGTCTGTGGGCAGACCCGCAATGTTCCACTCTCTGATCTTGACCGGCTCTCCCAGGGTGTTGATGAGATTAAAGTCACTCGAGCAAGGCAGACCTTTCTCTTGCACTGTTTTCAGCCAATCATTGGCTGTTTCCTGTAGGGGAAAAAAAGAAACATAACAAATCAGTCAACAGTATAATTACAGCTTCAATGGCAAAACCTTTTCACAATATCACAGAGGGCTTTAAGAGTCCTCTTTTTTAAAAGGGGAAAAAAAAGGAAAAAAATCATACCATTAAAACAGATTTGAGATGCGAGAAAAAAGGAATATACTGTTGGGGATTAGGACAATGTATCAGGGAGGAAGAGGTGAGGGAAGGAAGGGAAGAGGAAGGGGGAAGAGGTGAGGGAAGGAAGGGAGGAGGGAGGGGGAAGAAGGAAGGGGGAGGGGGAAGAGAGGATGGGGGGAGGGGGAGGGGGAAGAGAGAAGGGGGAAGAAGGGGGGGAGGGGGTGAGGCTATACTTTACTTTTACCCTGACAGAGTGTGGACTGATTCTTTTCTCTCCCCCCTCACCTGTCTGAAAGCAGAAGTGAAGGCTCCCAGGTACGCCACAATACCGGAGGAGACCAGCACGTCTCCAGTCAGGTTGATGTACTTCTTGCCCAGCTCCCGCGCCTCTTGGCTCCAGCGGTCCCTCTCTCCACCCAGGCCGCCGATCAGCTGCTCAGCACGGGCCAGCTTCTTAGTGCACAGGTCCACTTCATTCTCCAGCTCCGCCTTCTTGGTCTTGTTCGCCTCCAGAGTCTCCTGAAGCTTGTTCAGTTTTTCCTTGGGGAAGAATTTACATAAGACATGTGATTATTAGACCATTTCCTTGGTAAAGAATGTGCAGAAGAAATGTCTGATTAGACCATTTCCTTGATAAAGGATTAACAAAAGTAATATCTTATTAGACCATTTCCTTGGTGAAGGATTAACAAAAGAAATGTCTTATTAGACGATTTCCTGGATGAAGGATGAAAAAAAAAAATGTCTTATTAAACCATTTCCTTGAAGAAGAATTTACACAAGAAATGTCTTATTAGAACAAGGAGTACCACTGCCTAATTTCATCTTGTAAAATGGAAATTTGAAGAGAGGTGGGGAGTGTGGAGTGGGAAGGGGGGTGGGGGTGGGTGATAAACGTTGTTCAAAAGGGGAGAGCAAGGGATTATGAAAGTGGGACAAGGGAATACATTGCCAAATAGAAAGTTATACTTCATTGATTTTGTAAGGGAAAAACTCTGACAGTGTGCTTTTACAAGTTACTGGGACACTAAATATAATTTTTTTGCATCCAATCACACAAAACAAAAACTCAAAAACTCATAATCATATTCAAATAATATATTTCATTCTCTGAGCCTCTCTGTCTGTCTGCCTCTCTCTTTGAGTCTAAGTCTTTCTGTCTTAGAAACAATCAGAAATGAGTCGGGCACCAATGGCATAGTCACTAAACCTTATGACTCAGTATACGGTCAAATTCTGGGATGGAAATGACAAGATTTCAAAACTCATGGTCACTTGCATCAAAACCCTACACATGGAAGTATTTGTACATGAGTGTCATTCAGACTGAGTAGGCGCGCTCATATGACCTTATGCAGTTGCGAGCGCCGTAAAACCCCATACTAAAACTAAGACTGTGTAGGAACGTGTATGTCCAAGGGCAGGTGTGTGTGCGAGTGTGTGTGTGTGTGTGTGTGTATGTGTATGTGTGTGTGTGTGTGTGTGTGTGTGTGTGTGTGTGTGTGTGTGTGTGTGTGTGCGTGCACATGCATGCATATGTGCATGTGTGCATATGTTTATGTGTGAGTGTACGAGTGAGAGAGAAAAAAAGTGTGAATGTGTAAACAGGAATGTGTATGCTCGAGTGTGTGACAAACAAGAGCATGTTTGTGCTAGTACAACTGACTGCACAGGTTTTTTGGAAACACTTACCTGAACCTCTCGCAGAGATGCGCGTTTCTTCTCAAGGGAAGCCATGGCCACAGAAAGTTCAGCTTCAGCCTTCTTCAGCGATTCTTTCTTGGGAGCAACTACTTTGGCCACCCTGAAAGTCACAACAGACATGAAAGAGTTTATATGAATAATAAATTATAAAAATAAATAGCATTTATGCCGCATATTTTCATTTTCTAAAAAAATGTTCAATTCGCATTACATTCAACAGGATGTCACAATTCCAAATAGCTTGACAGGTGTATATGTAGAAAATATATGAATATAGTTATTATTGATCCATTATAGCATCAGGTGTGTTGTTGTTATCAATATAGTGTAGCTTCACATAATATGTTTATGGCATTGATCCAGTATAGCTTCAGGTATGTTATTGTTATCGACCCAGTGTAGCATCAGGTATGTTATCGACCCAGTGTAGCATCAGGTATGTTATCGACTCAGTGTAGCATCATATATGTTATCGACCCAGTGTAGCATCAGGTATGTTATCGACTCAGTGTAGCATCAGGTATGTTATCGACCCAGTGTAGCATCAGGTATGTTATCGACCCAGTGTAGCATCAGGTATGTTATCGACTCAGTGTAGCATCAGGTATGTTATCGACCCAGTGTAGCATCAGGTATGTTATCAACTCAGTTATTGTTATAAGCCTAGTGTAGCATCAGGTACATTATCGACCCCATGTAGCGTCAGGTAAAAATGACTCACTTGTCGTAGGTTTCCATGGCCCGCACCCACTTGCACAGACCTTCACAGGCAGTGGAGGCGACCTTGATCTTGTCGGGGTCAAAGTCCGGGTTAGGAGTGTACTTGGCTCTGATGGTCTTCATGTAAGCCACTGGGATGTTATCCTGCACGAGAAGTAAAACCACACAGATTACGAAGTGCACAGAGATTTTTGTTGGAAGGAGATATGCTCTACAAAAATGCTGTTTAGTATAGATATTAGAACAACGATTGAAAAGTTTGATTTTCCAATAAAATATTTCTGGAAACAAACTTTGCTCTCCGAACACAAATATAAGGCATCAGAGTGAAATCAGGCACTCGTCAAATTAATGAAATTGAAGATATCAGCATTTTTCTGCCAGTTTGAAATTTTTTTTCCAATTTTGGCTTTTTGGCTCAACACCTTTTATGTCCATTTAAAAACACATTTTTGTGCGAATTTTACTGAAATACATTAACTCATTCGCTACGCCAAGCCGTGGGCAGCGGCGCGGCTAAAGTTGCCTCCGTACGCCAAGCCGCCCCCATCGGCTCGAGAGCCAACCTATAATTCTAGCTTGGATTTTATTCCAATCCACATATACATGTTAAAATAAAGGTTATAATATAACATTGACTTCCGGGTCAAGCATTTCCACTGAAAATTGGAAGTTTAGATTCAGTTTCGAATCGCGATTTCGAAGTTTATGCGACTTGGTTTTATCGCGATGCCGAAATTATAGCCCAGACACCAGTCTCAGTACTTTTATACAACAAAATGTATCATTATTTTGCTCACTAAAGAAATGAAGGACTCTTCTTTAGAATATTGATACTATTGGACTCAAATAGCCAGTGATCTGTTATTGAGAAATCAATATTTTTCAATGCTAGATCAAGGTCTAGATCTTTATTGTCAAGACATTTTTTTCTACCCGAAATCAATATTTTTTGGGTGAAATTACACAAAAAATACCAATCAAGACTTGTAAAGGTTTATTCCAAATGCAACTTAGAATAATTTCGTATAAGACACGAGTGGGTTTTTTTTCTGTCTGTGAATGCATCTTGTCCTTTTTTCAAGGTAATAAACAATTTTTTTTAAATTTTCAATATCAGATGTTTTGATCCAAAATGTACAAATGTTATAGAATGTATGTAATTAACTGCAAATTTTTCAATATTTTCCTGTTCTGTATTCATTTATGGTTTTTTTAAAAGTATCATTTGACTTTTTGAGTTTCCCCAAAGATTATTAATTTTATATTCTAATTTTTTTTCCGCATCCAAACAAAACTGTGTTGCATAATCACCTCTTACAAGAACCAAAGGTGAAAAATACACAAATAAACATTACAGTTGTATTCTACAAACCATACTGAAAATTTTGGTATATAATGTGTTGATATTTATTTGAATTTGTGGCCTCAAAGACCTGTGAGCTGCACACTAGTCATCTTCTCATTTCGCTCTCCCGCAAAAAATTCGTCCACAAGCCAAAAATAATACGTAGTGAATGAGTTAAAGGCACAGCAAATGTAAATTTCCAGTTTTCAAGGAATCTCAAGTTTCCAAAATCAACAAATTTTAACGGCCATTTTCTCACTAAATTTGCATCTGAAACCAGGCCACCCCCACCTTCAATCGCACATATCTCGACTTCTATTCAAGTATTTTTTTTCATCGAAAGATAGTCAAATGAACAGCCTTTAGGGTGATACTATAACTCCATGTGCCCAAAAATTGACGAGCGCCAGATTCTACAGCATCGAGACACAAATTATCACTCCCTCACTCGTGATTTGTTTCATGACCTTTCATCTTTTAATCTCTCGATCTTTCTGCCCTTAATCCAACAAACCCTCTTGCTCTTTCTGTAAAATTATTCGTCTGGTTCATCTGTCTTCCTGTCTGTGTGTCCGTCTCTAAATCTTTCCAACACCTTCAAAACATCACACAATAATTCTTTTCATCCACAAATAGGTTCACATTGTTTACCTATTTCTTACTGACAAATTGAACTTTCAAATTATACCCATCATCCTCTCAGCATCTTGTTTCTTTTCACTTAACCGCATTCTACCTTTCTCTTTTTCTTAAATCCTCAAAACATGTTCAATCAGTTATATTCTCTAATTTATCTGTCTTTCCAAAACCTTTTATAGCCCTTGCTCATTCACAAGCAGCTAATTCTTTAGCAAAAAACCCCCCAAACCAAACATGCCAACAAATTGAACGAATGCAAGAACGCAGTATCATTTTCCCAACATAAATCATTTCTTTTTGTGCTCACTTTGTCAAAGTTATGTAAAGATTCCAGAAACTTCATGTCTCCGAGCAGTTTCTTGGAAGGGCCCCAGAAATCCTCGATCTTTTTTCCTGTTCCAGAAGGATCCGGCACTCGATCAGGTTTGATGCCTTTGAGCACACAGATGCTCTCCATGACAAGGCGCACTCCATAGGGAGGAGACTTCATTGATTTCACAATAGTGATATCCTGTGTAATGAAAATTAAAAAAACAAAAAACATCATCAACCGAGCTCTCATGAAAACTTAAGTTTAATGCGATTTACAAATTATCTTTTCTTATGAGAAGTCAGGCGTGGCCGAATGTTAAATATTGTAGCTGTACATAAAAATCACTTCAATTTATGTGGAGATTTGCCAATATCTTAGAAGCTATAATTATAAGTGTACCTTACACCAACATATCAGAGATTTCTTTAAATTAATTGTCACATCTCACAGTAAAAGATGAGGTAAATATCTCTCCCAAGTAAGAGTACAATTTTCATCTGTCTGCACAAGTTTTTACAAATTAAATACAAAAATGTTTTCTAAAGACGACTCACACTATTCAGCCTTCACATGCTCACAATGTAGCTTGCAGGGATAGAGACAAATCAAGTGCATAGAGCAGTAGAGCAGGGTTATATGATATACAAAAGCTAATTACTTTTTTTTACTTGTTCCAGCCTCGGTTACCTTATGGTGTTGAGGGGAGAAGCAAACATCTTTCTCTTGCTTTTTGAATTGCCTGTTGTACAATTTTATCTTTTTTGCCTAATATTTCTCTGACCCCCTCTATCCATCTCTTCCTAGGCCTGCTTCTTCCTCTGTATTCATCTGATCTATGGTTGTAAAACACAAACACTACTCATTATTATCATCACTCTCACCTGTGGGGTCAGGGTGTCCAGGGCAGCTAGGGCAGAGTTCAGGATGGGCAGAGCTTCAGCCAGGTCCGAGTCACACTCGTCCTTGATGGCCTGGGCACCGCGGGCTTGCTCATTGGCTACTGCCTCATCAGCTTTGACAACCTGGGATCAATAAGACATGAGGAGGAAAGCAATTGATCGATCTGACAAAAAGTTGAGTTTCTACGTTTCCTACACTTTCTTTCGTGTTTCTTCATCATCTTTCTTGCTGCCATCATCATCATTTCCATTTCCATAACCGTAAAAAGAAAACAAACAGAGAAACACCATAGCAAGTTAATACGTTTCAAGCAACCCCCCCAACCCC